TTATCTTTACTGATGCTCATGTAGGGGTGTGTGTGTGTGTGTGTGTGCGCGCACGTGCATGTGTGTGTGTATTTGAATTGTTGTCTTAAGTCATTTGCTTTTTGCCTCAACAACTTCCTTTAATGTTTCTTGTAAGGTAAATCTACTAGCAATGAATTCTCTATTTTTACCTATCTGGGCATGCCTTTATTTCATTATCACTTTTCAGAGGCAGCTTTGCTGGATACAGGATTCCTGGTTGATTGGCTACAGGATATGGTTCCTCTCAGTGGCCATTTATTTTTTTCCCTGTATATGGGTCATATTTTCATATTTCTTTGAATGTCTTATAATTTTTAAATTAAAAAAAAATTTAGGGGCACCTGGATGGCTCAGTTGGTTGAGTGTCCAACTTCAGCTCAGGTCATGATCTTGCGGTCTGTGAGTTGGAGCCCCGCGTCGGGCTCTGTGCTGACAGCTCAGAGCCTGGAGCCTGCTTCAGATTCCGTGTCTCCCTCTCTCTCTGCCCCTCCCCTGCTCATGCTCTGTCTCTCTATATAAATAAATAAACATTAAATTTTTTAATTTTTTAATTTTTTTTTTATTTTAGAGAGAGAGAGAGAGAGTGCAAACAAGAGAGAGGGGCTGGAGGGTGGGGGGAGAGAGAGAATCCCAAGCAGACTCCATGCTCAACACAGAGCCCAATGCAGGGCTCGATCCCACCACCCTGGGATCGTGACCTGAGCCGAAATCAAGAGCCAGACACTCAACTGAATGAGCCACCCAGGAGCCCCTGAATGTCTTGTAATTTTTTTTTGAAAACTGGTTATTTTAGATAACGTACTGTCACAACTCCAGATACTCGTCTTCCTCCTCCAGGTCTTCTTGTTGTTTGCTTGTTTATTTGCTTAGGAACTGGCTGGACTCTCTTAGAGAAGCCTCTTCCTCCACATTGTGAAGGCTGTGGCATTGCTCCTTTGGAAATGCTGCCTTAGACATGCACACAGTCACTGTCACCCTGGAATAACAGTGGTTTAAAGAGAGCTCTCTTTGACTATTTCCTGGGTCACAACCAAATTTAGACACCACTAATTGCCAGCTAATTGCTCTATAGTTTTAGACAATGTCCTGGGGCAAAGACAGCTCCCCAGTCTGATCCCATTAAACTCATAATCCTTGCCAAAGTTTTGGGGGATCAGTATTTGAGGTGGTTCTGACCCCAGGAGGCACCTAGCTGTCTCTTTTCTGGGTTCTCTCTGGTAAACTTGCTGGCTTGTGATTTCATGTGTGTTCTTGTTACTAATTAGCATCCTTTCTTTTCAACTTAAAGAAGGCCCTTTACCATTTCTTATAAGGCCAGTTTACTGGTGAGCTCCTTTGGTTTTTGTTTGCCTGAAAAACACTGTATCTCTCCTTCACTTCTGAATGATAACTTCCAAATTCTCATTTGGAAGTTTTTTTGGCTGTTTGTTTGTTTGTTTGTTTGTTTGTTTTCCAGCACTCCGTTCTGGCCTGCTACTTTCCTGCTGGAAAATATGCTGATAATCTTACGAGGATTCCCCTGTAACATGTTGTTTTTAACATTGCTACTTTTAATATCCTCTTCTTGTCTTTAACTTCGGACATTTTGATTGTAATGTGTCTTAGTGTGAGTCTCTTTGGGTTCTTCTTATTTGGAATTCTATGGGCTTCCTGGATCTGGACATCTATGTCTTTCCCCAAGTTAGGGAAGCTTCAACCATTATTTCTTCAAATCAGATTTCTGCCCCTTTTTCTCTCTCTTCTCCTTCTGGGAGACCGATAATGAAAATGTTACCCTATTTGACATTGTTCCTAAAGTCTCTTAAGGGATCTCCACTCTTTTCTACTCTTTTTTCTTTCTTTCTTTCTTTCTTTCTTTCTTTCTTTCTTTCTGTTTGCTGCTCTGTTTGGGTGAATTCCACTGCTCTGTCTTTGAGTTGACTGATTCTTTCTTCTACTTCATCTAGTCTGCCGTTGATCCCTCTAGTGTATATTTCAGTTCATCTATTGTATTCTTGAGCTTTGTGGCATCTGTTTGGTACTTTCTTACATTTTCCAGCTCTTTGTTGAAGTTCTCACTGTGATCATCCATTCTTCCCCCATTTGGTGAGCATCTTTATGACCATTACTTTGCATTCTTTATCAGAGATAAGTATAAATTCCTTATCTCCACTTCACTACAGCTTTTTCTGAGTTTTTAGTTTGTTCTTTCATTTGGAACCTATACTTCTGTTTTCTTCATTTTGCCGGATTCCCTGTGTTGGTTTCTATCTAGTAGATGAAACAGTCCCCTCTCCCAGTCTACACAAGGAGTAGCCTTGTGTAGGAGATGAACCTTGTCACTCAACCCTGCCTCAGCTCTTTGTTGTCTTTTAAACCTTTGTGCGTGTCCAGGAAGGCTATTATATATTTAATGGCTCCCAGTGGTTGAGGATGTACCAAGACTTGTCAGTGTCTCAAAGGGGGAGGATCTCAGCAGCTAGATTCAGACTTACTGGAAACCAAACCCTCAGGCAACAGCTTTTAAAAGTATGCAAATATAGGGACACTGGGTGGCTCAGTCGGTTAAGCCTCTGACTTCAGCTCACGGTTTGTGAGTTTGAGCCCCGCATCAGGCTTTGTGCTGACAGCTCAGAGCCTGGAGCCTGCTTCGGATTCTGTCTCCCTCTCTCTCTGCCCCTTCCCCGCTTGCACCCCCCCTCAAAAAAAAAGTGAATAAACATTAAAAAACATCTTTTAATAAGTGTGCAAATATATATAGTCCTGTGGGATCACCAGCATAAGCCCTACTGGCCACCAGAGCCAAGCAATGTAAATGTGTCCCCTGGCAACAGCCACCAAAATGGGGCACCGGACATGGGCACCCTCCAGGAAGACACTGGCACTTTGGATTGCAACAGAAGGTGAGACTAAAGATAGAGCCTATCCTCAGAGTTCTCTGGAAAGGATCACAGTTAGCACCTAGATGCCTGTTTAATTAGAACGTTGCCCCTAAAGTCTCAGTCTGATGACGATTAGCTAATACGCCTCTTTCACAGAAAGACTGAGCTTCTGGGTCTGTCTCCTCTTGCTCTTTCTTCCCTGGGGTGTCAGCTGGTTAAGAACTCTGTCTCCTTTGTTCATAGTCCTGTGGGACCCACTAGCATAAGTCCTGCTGGCCACCAGAGCTAGGTGATGTAGAAGTGCCCCCCAGCAGTGGCCACAAAAATTGGTGCACCAGATAGGGCCTATGATGGTGACACCAATTATTATGGTTCCACGGGACAAGGGTTGCAAGCTCCCTGGTCTTCAGAGCCACGTGATCAAGAGAGTCCCAGGCCACAGCCACAAAACTCGGGGCACCACATGTGTGTAAAAGCTCCCTTCTGGGAGACTCTGGTGCTCTGGGATGCTTTCATATAGAGAGGTGAACTCCCTTCACTTAAAGTCTGGGTGCAACCAGCCATTCCTGAGCTGGACCCAGAAGCTGATGAGCCTGAGCCCTTGAGCCCTTGAAGAGCAGTTTCTCAGCTCACTCCCAGTCTTGTGGGTCTTGGGATGCGAGCCCCATTGGTTTTCAAAGTTAAATGTTTTGCAGGTTTGTCTCTCAAGTGTATGTTGTAAAACTTGGGATGCCTGATGTGGGGCTCACTGTGGGTGAGCTGTTTTCTTTTGTTGTTGTTGTTGTTGTTTACTTTAAATAAATTGAGTTTTTGAAATGGTAAAAAAAAAACCCTAAACTCCAAATAAATAAGGTCTTTTAACAAGTAGTGGGGGATGGGAAGAATAGTTATTTTGACATTTTAGTTTCCATCAAAAGAAACAGAAGAAGTGTATGCCATCCCAGGGGAAATTATATAAGCTCTTCCGGGTTTACAGCAGTGCTGGAATTCTCTGGTGATTCTCACAGGAGCCAAGATTACCTCTGGAAAAATCTAACTATTGGAAAGCACTAGTGTCTGGCAGAAAGCCAACTAGGATAGGGCAAAGGATGTGCTGTCCTCAATCCTGAGAGTCTGGATCAATCCCAGGGGCCCAGCCTGCCTGTGGCAAAGCCGTGAATAAGCAAAGCAAAGACTATCTCCAATCCCCACCCACTTTCCTATTCCCTTCCTAATTCTCCTCCTCTTGATCTTTCTGTGCCTCCTCCCACTCCTCTTTCTCCCCCCTACTCAATTCACATCCTGCTTGTGTGATGAGCACTGAAGGTACAAAGCCACCTACTCAGGGCCCTTGCATTTTAATAAGGAGCTCTTGTACACCCAGAGTAACGTTTCTCTATTGCTAGAAATTCAAGCCTCTGTACCGGCGGTGGGAAATACATCTGGTCTCAAGCACCACACTTCCTGTCCCACGAAAAGTCAGCTCAGGTTTGGTGAGGCACCGAGGACTACATCCCTGCATCTCACTGCGGGCAGATGGGGATGTACAGCATCACCAGGATAATACCTCAAACTCCTCTGCTCTGTGCCAGCTCACACAGAACCTTGTTCTCCCCTCATATATCCACACCCCTGCTGTCTGGCTTAACCCACCTACCTTCAGTCTCTGTTTAGATGTCCTTTTCTCTAGGAGGCTTTCCCCAGTGGATCCCCAAGTCTGGGTTCTGTCCCTCTGATGTACCCCCATAATGCTGAATGCCTTCCCCCGCAGCACTTATCACACTGATTTGCTACTTGGTAAACCAGTACCCATCACAGCCCTGACATTTAACAGGTGCTTAGTTTATTGAATGAATGAATGAATGAATGATCTATTCACAAACCCTGTAGCTGCAGAGACCATGAAGGTCTTATCCTGCATCGTACCTTCATCACCCAGGCCAGTAATTAGGCCATGATGGGCATACAATAATTATTCATTAATTGATTGAAAGAAGTCCTCATAAAAAAGGTACTTGGATCTATGCCAATAATGTCCTGGCATCCTTCTTACAAGAGCAAGAGGCACAGCCCAGTGACCTTTTCTAGACCATCAGGATGGGGAGACAGAACAAGATAAAGGAAATGCTCCAGGAGTACCTCTGTCCAGGGGGCTCCTCTCTTCGACCACAGGTTTAATTTTCTAGGGATGCTGAACCTGAGGCACAAGAGTAGGCCTTCAGACAATCCATGAACATCCTGAAACTTTAATCAAACATTCATGTCAGTAATTATATGCACATTTTCCTGGAAGGAGGCCCTTGGTTTTCAATGAGTCTCCAAAGGCTATGACACAGAGTCATTGCTCTAGACCTGTACCATCCAGCATGACAACCACTGGCCACATGTAGCTATTTAAGTTTGAACATACATGAAAATTTCAAAACCTTAGTTACACTAGGTACATATCAAGTGTCTCAATACCCACTCCACTATTGGACAGCCCAGAGATAGAACATTTTTATGGCTGCAGAAAGTTCTACAGAACTTCTCTATATTGGTAGCATTACCTAGCATTCAATGTATAGGAAAGATTTGTTTGAATTGCGCAGTGTTTTTGTAAAATGAGTTACCGTGGTTCAGAAATGGAAACACGGACCTCTGAAATCCTGATTTGGCGGGGGAGGTAACGGGACTATCTGCCAGGTTGGGGCCTGTAGTCCTGGCAGCTGGCATACACGGGGCCGCTCAGTTTAGCTGGCCCCTCGTCATATCTACTTGTTGGGCCCTCCCCAACATTTGGGTTTGTGCCCTCGTTTCTAGTGGACCTCAGCCACCCAGGTTTCTTTCTAGCCTCTTGTGTTTGTAACCAGATTCCAAGTTTGGGTAAGTGGGGATGAATTTGGTTTAAGAGCGCATCTTGGGGTTGAGGTCTAGGGCTGGGGTACAGGCGCCCAGCTGGAAGTTGGGGAGGGGCAGCGCCTCGTTCCTTTCAACTCTCCATAACTGGAAGAAGAGAAAGGGAATTTTACCCTGAACATCTGTTGCTTGACAAAGAACTTCCCCGTCTTCCTAGGAGCCCGGAGTCCCCAGCCCAGCACGCCTGGGCCCGCCCCTCGCGACGAGATCGCGGGGAGGGGCCGAGGAGAAACCCGAGCCCCGCGCCCACCGCCCGGGCTGGCGACGTGGCTCGGCCTCCCCGGCCTCCCCCCACCCCCCTCCCCGCGGCCCGGCGGCCAATGGGCGCGTGAGCCGGGCTGCCCGAAGCTTCCCTGCCCGCGGCCCGGGGCGCGCCCCTTCGCTCTGGCGCGGGGCGGGCCCGTCCCCTCCCCCGCCGCTGCCGCCGCCGCCGCCGCCGCCGCCGCGCTGGGAGCCCCCACTCCCCAGTCGCCGTCCTCGTCGCTCGCTCCGTGCCTCCCCGCGGGCCGCTCTCCCGTCCGGACGATGGCGCGTGGCGGCCGCGACCGCCTCCTGGGGCTCGCCCTGGGGCTGCTGCTGGCTCTGGCGCTGGCGCCCCGGGCGCTGCGGGCCAAACCCACGGTGCGCAAGGAGCGCGTGGTGCGGCCCGACTCGGAGCTGGGCGAGCGGCCGGCCGAGGACAACCAGAGCTTCCAGTACGACCACGAGGCCTTCCTGGGCAAAGAGGACTCCAAGACCTTCGACCAGCTCACCTCGGAGGAGAGCAAGGAGAGGCTGGGGTGAGGCCGCGGTCCGGGCCGCGCTGGGGGGCGTCGCAGGTGCCCGCGGGGACACCCCGGCGGGAGCCACGCGGGACGCGCGCCGCAAAGCAAAGCGAAAGCGAAATCGGGCGCGCGGGCGGAGGGCGGGGTCCGGTGGGTGCTGCGGCGGCCCGGCTCGCGCTGAATTGCCCGCGGGCCGGGGACCAAAGCGTGGGGACAGCCGCCGCGCCCGGGCGGCGGGGAGGCAGGAACGTGGCAGCGGCAGCGGGAGCCAGGGCGGCGAGGGCCCGCCCCCTCCCCTCGGTTGCATCAGAAGGGAGGGGAGAGTGGGTACAAAAGAAGAGTTTGTGCACAGTGGCCTTTTAGTGACATGAGTTCTTCCCCACCTTCCCAGTTTCCCTCTTCTCCCCCAATTCCCGGGGTGGAGGTTTTGTGACACTGCTAAGAAGGTCTGCAGGATGAACACAGATGGATCAAAGCTGAAGGAGCAGATGAAGGAGAGGGTAGATTCCTGGCGGGTGTTCTTGGGCCGCGGCAGGGGTGTTCTTGCCTCCTGCCTAATAGTAGAGATAGTAGAAGTGGGGATATACAAACCTTGGTGAGAAGATAGGGACATTAGGGGATAGGGAGTGGGAAGTGGGAATGGAAACCGGTCCCCCAGTTTCTCTTTCCAGCAGATGTCTGCGGAGGCACCCAGTCCTTTGGCAACTGAGGGCAAAAAGCTGGAGGGTGTGGTGGCAGATTGTGAATTTCACAGTTGAAGGCAGTTGAATCAGGAACCAAACCTGGAAAACAAAACTTAGGTACATCTCAGTGCACCCTCTCCGGGTCCCCTGGGGACACACTTGGTCATTGTGCAGAGGTATCTGGGAACCCTTCCATAGAGGAATCAGCAGCCATGGCCTGGTCCCAAGTGGAGGCTGGGGGGGGGGGGGGCGGGTCCCAGTAGCCCTGCCTACTGGGCACCAGGCCTCCTGGAACCTGCTTCCTGGGAGTGGAGGATCTTTCTGTCCTGATACATGAAAAAGAACAGCCATCCCTGTGCTGAAGGGGGCCACCAAAGGCCAATGTGGTTGGTTAAGATATGAGGCTAAATTATACCTATTGTGTGGGTGCACCATCTGCCCGCCCTGACAAAAAGATCTTTGGACTTCAAAGTCACCTCCAAACAATCACCTTTTATTTTGCCGAGAAGTACTTTTCTCTTCTTGTTCAGGACTTCACAATGGGGGCCATTGATGAGTTCAGTCTATTGTATTAGCTTTGAAGCACTTGGAAACTGATTTATTCTGGGACCCTGAGAGGCAGCACTGTCACCTATGAGGAGGAGGGGAGGTTTTGGGATTTGGAGTAGGGAACTCTGCAGTTTGCAGTCCTAACAGCTTCCAGTTTAATGCCTTTATCATGACCATAAGCCTAGTGGTGAGAGCTAGTGCTGGTGAAGTTGCTCTGCATTTGGCCCTGGTAGGGACACCTTAACTTCGTTCATGTATTCATGCAACAAACATTTCCATGGCTATTGTGTGCCAGGCACCGTGTTAGGTGCTTGGCAGATACCAAGATAAAACCTTATGCTCTAGGCCTCAAAGTACTTCTAATTAAAAGTAGAGGAGGGGAGCCTGGGTGGCTCAGTCGGTTAAGCAGCCAACTTGGGCTCAGGTCATGATCTCGCGCTTCGTAAGTTTGAGCCCTGCGTCGGGCTCTGTGCTGACAGCTCGGAGCCTGGAGCCTGCTTCGGACTCTGTCTCCCTCGCTCTCTGCCCTTCCCCCGCTCATGCTCTGTCTCTCTTTCCTTCAAAAATAAACATTAAAAAAAATTTTTTTTTAATAAATAAATAAATAAATAAAAGTAGAGGAGAGAAACACAAGCAGACACTAATGTGTAATTGCTATGATGGCGGCAGGTAAAAACCACAGTGACCACACTCGGGAAGAGGAGCCCCTAGGGCTTCAGGTTGGAGAGCGGGGCTTAGGGGTTTGGAGACACCTGATCAGAGATTGCGGGATGGCTCAGAGGTCGCCAGGTGCACAAGCAGAGGAAGGCATTCCTGAAAACAGCCTGCTTATAAAAGTTTTGAAACCTGTTCTGGGGGATGAAGGCTGTTGGGACAGTAAAGGGACAGGGCAGAAGTGGGAGGTGGGAGGGGACCTAAGCACAGAGCAGGAAGGATCTCTTTGAGGTAGAGATTAGGTGTTATCCTGTACGTAATCAAAATGTCACCATCCCAAAAACTTGTTAGTAATGTCATACAGGCAGGAGGACAGAGAACATAACTGAGGCACAGGTGGAGAGACCAGGGGCAGGGGAGTGGCCACGAGTGCCTTAATCAGGCACAGCTAGTCCCGAGGGCAGGAGACTGTGAATCCAGGCACGTGGGAAGTAGAACAGTCAGTGCTTGCTCTGGACTTAACGTGGGGTGGGGAAGTGGTCTCTGGGGGGACATCTGGTCTCTGGCCTGAGCTACCAGACAGGCAGTGGACACACACTCACCTGTAAGGTAAATCCAGGCTGGAAGGTGGGTGGAAGGTTGGGACGTAATGGAACATGAAAAGCCACCTTTCTGCCCACAGCTCCTGGTGCAGCAGTCCCCTCTGCCCCCCAACCCCCCGCCCCCAGTCTTGGGCTGGATCCAGGCAGTCACCACCTGACCTTAGATTCTGAAAATGTGACAGTTCTAGGGCTTCTGGAGACAGCTAGGCCAAGGGGCTTGCAGAGCGGAGGCCCACAGGCCACACGCAGTCACAAACATGCTATGAGCTCTTAGAAAAAATGTAAATTACTTGCCCACATTTAAACTGAGCGATTTCACATACAGACCCTGATTTCTGGTTTCTCTTGACACCGTGGACTTCTATTCCCATGTGGCATTCATCGTCTGGAGCAGAGATGGGCATCTCCAGGTTGCCCGAGGCTCCACCTGGAGTCTTGGCTCACTTCTGTTACTTCTGTTACCTGCTGGGTGTTTGCTGAGTTCTCCATCCACCTGTGATCTAGATTGCTGTCCTTAGTGAGGCTGGGCACACATTCTCTCCTGTATTCCCCACAACATCCCTTGTAAAGCAGGTGTTCCAATTTATAGTCAGGCAAACTGAGATCCAGAAAGGCTGTGAATCCCTAGAAGGAAGCCTGAGGATACTTGAGGCTTAGTCTGTTAGCTCTGGGACCTGTTAAGATGGCAAATGAAGGGGCGCCTGGGTGGCGCAGTCAGTTAAGCGCCCGACTTCAGCCAGGTCATGATCTCGCGGTCCGTGAGTTCAAGCCCCGCATCAGGCTCTGGGCTGATGGCTCGGAGCCTGGAGCCTGTTTCCGATTTGGTGTCTCCCTCTCTCTCTGCCCTTCCCCCGTTCATGCTCTGTCTCTCTCTGTCCCAAAAATAAATAAACGTTGGAGAAAAAAAAAAAAAAGATGGCAAATGAAGGGACACAGGAAAGTGTGAGTGCTACGAACAAAACTGTTCGTAGCACTCACACTTTTCTGAGAAAGAGGGAAACAGGCTCCCCAGGTTCAGGTAGGAGACAGTAACTTTATATGTACTAATAAATTCCTTCCCCATTTCTAATTAATGAAAGAGTAACTGTCAGTTAGAACTTCTGTTGACAGTAAGAAAGTTTTCCCGCTGAGTTGATAGACTGCAGCTCTAAGCAAAGAAATAAATCCCTAAGTAGCCTGGCTGACTGCATCCCAGGTAAATGGACTACTGGAACTTTCTTAAGCATTGGAAATGGCTTGTGGGTGTCCTTGAAGTTCCCCACAGGGACTGTATCTCTAGCTTGGGACCCTCTGGCCTAGAGATGGACACTGGTGAGTTCCCAGCCTGAAGTTTACTTTGGACCAGAGTGTGGGGGTACCTCAGTAGAGTCCAGCGGGCAGTTGCTGGACCCCAGGCTAGCTGTGGAGCAGGAGACCCCCCCTGGACATAGGTATCTTCGCCCAAAGGGCAGGGTGTAGGCTCCTGCAGCTGGCTCAGCTGGTCAGGCTTCTTGAATAGTTTTCATGATGTGAAGGCTCTTTCATCCCTAACGTTTTATGCTTTGGCCAACAAGATCTGGTCTTCTAAGTGTCGAGTATGAGTCCAAAGTGGTGATATTTTAAAAAAGAAGAAGAAAAAGAAAAGAACTCGCTTATCTTCTGGTTTACCTAGAATTTTCCTTTTTTTCAAATTTTATTTTATTTTATTTTATTTTATTTTATTTTGCATTAGACCTAGCGCCAGAAGACATGGGTTCTTACCCTGTCATACTAAATACTAGCTGTGTGATCTTGGAAAAGTCGTCTCATTTCTCTCAGCCTCTGTTTCCATCACTGTAACACAAGGGAGTTGGACTGCATCTGGAGAAGACTGTTGGGTTTCATCTCACAATCAGCTCTGATCAATTGGTGGTGTCCACCTGCACAGTGCTGTGTTGAGAAGGATTC